CAGCCCAGCACTCTCCCCTTCACCCTAGGGGCGCCCCGCTGGCCAGCCTCACTCTAGGTGCACCCCGGAGGTTTTCAAAACGCTCAGCATTTGAGGGGGACAGACCTCGGGAAACTGGGGGGGGGGCTTAGCAGTGTGACAGGCTGTATTGCAGCTCCCAGCCAGCTCTGTGCCAATCCAACTCATTAACCCCTCCCAGGGGACTGGAGCTAAAGATCAGCCACGGTTTGTGGATGGGGAAACCGAGGCACACACTGGTCAGGTGAGCAGCAGAGGCCGCTGGAATGTCCCAGTCCCCTGCTCTTATCCTTCACTAGACCATGCTCCTTCCCAGACCCAGAAATAGAACCCAGGAGTCCTGTCTGCCTCGTGCACTAACCACTAGGCAACGCCGCTGGGTGGCAAATAAATTCTCGTCGGCTATATCCCTGGTTAGAGCACGAGCAAGCAAGCGGATTGTCAGAGGCGTGAGACACGCAAGGGGAGTAGAAAGACAGACGCCGGGGGCCGAAACCGCCTGGTCTTTCGGCGTAAGCCCCTAGAGCTCCTATTCTTCAGCTCACGAGGCAGGTAAGGTGACAGGCCTGTGTACTTACCAATAAATAGATAGCACTTGCTATGGCCAGACACGCAGTGCCCAGGATGGTGGATAACAGGAAACCCGCAGGCACCGCCAGGCTGAGAGAGACAGAAGTTTAGCTCCTTTAAGACAACCCTCCAAATGATTCAGAGTAAAGGTCTGTGAGTAACGGGGGGGGGACGGGGTAAAGGTCGGTGGGTAGCGCAGCAGAGAGCCGGTGCTCTCCAGGGATCCTCAGGGGGGCCGCAGACTCCCCGTGTCCGTGTGCCCAGCAATCAAACGCTTTTGTCCGCTGGTGAGTCGAATCGCCGGTTCTCTCTCTGGCTGGCCAGACAGAAAGCGCCTGTCTGCCATGGGGGAGTTGGGGCCGGGCACAGGGGCAGGCTGGGTACGGTGCCAACCCCAAAGCGGCAGCCACCCGCTCCTGGCTTCTCCCTCGGGCAGCCTTTGGGGGATTGCAGCAGACTCAGATCCAAGCCCAGGGCCAGCCCGGCCCACAACCCGGGGCCGGCAGAGCAGCCCGTTTACACGCAAACTCCCTGCAAAGCCAAGCTGGGGAGACGCCCGCTGTTTGACCGCCAGGAGGCAGGAACCGATACGGAAGCAGCCCCTGCCGAGAGCAGCTTCCCGTCCCCAAAGGAACGATCCCACCTCCTGCTCTCTCCGCATCTGCCCTGAAGGCTCACAGAGCGCAGCCCAAACTCCGAGCCACGTGCACAGCCCTGCAGCAATGCAGCCACCTCTGGGGAGGAACACGGCAGTTATTGTGCTGCCCAGGGCACCATGACAGAAGAATTTAGGACAGGAAGAGCAGAATACCCACAGAGCTTCTGGTTAAGCAGGGTGCAACGGCAGAAGTTGATATTTGACCAGAACGCCGGGTGATCCCCCTCCTGTTCCTCCAAGAAGTGCCATTAGGACTTGACTGTCTATAGCTGGTCATAAATTAGCTGTGCAACTTCCCAATCAGAGCCGAGAGCCTCACACATACCAGGATACTGATTAGGATATTACTTGCTAAGTCAACACCATGTCTTCCGGCATCTCCCTGGGGTTGTCCACAGAGGTGTCAGCATGCACTTGAGGGCAACACAGCTCTCTGGTTGCTTCTGCTTCAGAAATAGGCTGGTTCCTCTCTTGTTACAGCTTCGACTGACCCAGAGGGTCAGTTATGAAAGCCAGTGGGACTTGAAAAAAGTGCAGGATGCTCCCACACCCAGGTTCCTCCTCAGTGGGCGGAGTAATGAATCGCTTCTCCCTGTGGACAGCAATTGCTATTCCTAAAACCTCTGGCTCCAAATATCCCAGGGTCCGACTGATTTGATGTACAAACGCCAAGCCAGCTTCGAAACAAACGACAGGACTGTGTAGCACTTTAAAGACTAACCCGATGGTTTATTAGGTGATGAGCTTTCGTGGGCCAGACCCACTTCCTCAGATCAAATAGTGGAAGAAAATGGTCACAACCATATATACCAAAGGATACAAATAAAAAAATGAACACATATGAAAAGGACAAATCACATTTCAGAACAGAAGGGGGACAGAGGGGGGGAAGGAGGGGTAAATGTCTGTGAGCTAATGGTATTAGAGGTGATAATTGGGGAAGCTGTCTTTGTAATGGGTAAGATAATTAGCGTCTTTATTCAAATTTGAGTGTAAAGTGTCGAATTTAAGCATGAATGACAGTTCAGAGGATTCTCTTTGAAGTGAAGTCTTAAAGGGTCTTTGAAGCAGGATGCAGGTAATCAAGTCGTTGAGACAATGTCCTTTAGGTTGTCACTGCAAATGCCTGGCAGATCAAATCAAAGGGTATGATAGTTGGAGTAATACACAGTTTGAGGATCTTACTGATCTTAGGTGTGAGCTAGGTGCCCAGGCATCAGAACTTTTCTGAGAGTGTGCATGCCCACTTACATAATGTAGGTGCTTTGGAGACTCTGTCAGGGTTAGGTGGATGTTTTGGAGCTCTACATTTTGGTTTAGGCACTTACAGTGATATTTGCCCAACTAATCCCTTTGTGGGTCTAGCCTAACATGTTAAAAATGGAGCCCTCGAGGTTAAAAATAGGATCAGTGGCAGAATCAAGAATAAAATGCCACCCCTCCCCTTCTAACCACTAACAATATTCCTAAGTATTGTAAGGTCTTTTGAAGTAATGCAGTGCTGTGGAGTACAAGACCAGCTGCTAAAGCACACAGTACTAAAAACTACCATTGTCACATTACAGTGGTGACGAACCACAGAATGAATCATCTTCTTTTAACAGGGATCAAGGAATCATATTAGACAAAGGGAAACAGTCTTAGTCCTGAAACTACTGTCTCTCCCTGTTGTGATAATTGGGCTTCCACATTGCCTCTAATTGTGAGCTCTTTTGTGGAAAATGAGTGAAAGTTCATAAAAAGTCACAGTAACCTCTAACAAAAAATGCAGCAGCCCCTGCCGAGAGCAGCTTCCCGTCCCCAAAGGAACGATCCCACCTCCTGCTCTCTCCGCATCTGCCCTGAAGGCTCACAGAGCGCAGCCCAAACTCCGAGCCACGTGCACAGCCCTGCAGCAATGCAGCCACCTCTGGGGAGGAACGCAGCAGCTCACGGGGCACCCAGCGCTGCATAACACACGGCCGGGCAGCCCGCCGGACTTACGCAGCATGCAGGATGGCCCGGACGTAGTAATTCCTAGTGACCGGCCCAAAAATCTTCACCACGGCTGTCAAGTACTTCTGACCACTGCGGGGGGTGGAGAGACAGAGAGCACACAGAGAAAGGGGGGCTCAGAAAGGGTTCCCAGAGGATGGGGCACATGCCCCTCACCGCCCTCACCACGCCCTGTCCTCTGCCCTGACCAGGGCTTAGCACGCTCACCCGTGCAGCCGAAAACATGGGTGTGCACAAGTCTCCTCCCCCGCGATCACCAGCGAGCAGCAAACAGCAGTGACCTCAGCCCTGGCTCTCCGGCACATGCCAGGCATTCAGGGCAAAGAAAACCCGGCTGCTAGGGGGGCCAGCACCCTGGATACGGCAGCAGGGCTGCGATACGCAGAGACGCGAGCCCGGTTGCACCACTGCAGCTCCCTTACGGCCTCCTCGGCTCACCCCCCAGCAGAGTCCTTTCAGCCATGAATCTTAGGGCTATGGATGCTTTTAACCTCAGTCAAGCCATGGACACGCCCCCCTGCCACAAGGCAAGACTTTAACTAGCACACCATCCTGCTGGTGGAATAAAGCCGCTCAGCCATGTCTCATGACCCCAATACTGCTCAGCGATTCTCCTCTAGTTCGGCCTGGAGACCTGCGATGGAGCAGGAGGCAGCAAGCTTAGGTGGGGCCTTCTAGCCTGAAGAACACAGCAATTGCCAGGCAGGATCTGCCCAGAGCCTCAGCTAGCCCAATAGCCTGTCTTCCTCCAGCACCAACTGCATCAGGGGAAGGGGCGAGAAGGTCGAGTGGGCCTGAAGCATGAGGATTTATCAGGTTTCATCCAAAGTAAACTAACCAAAGATGCTCTTTTCAAGCCTCCCCATCTAAATCTTTCTTTCGGATCCTGCTAAGCTATTGGCCCTACTATCATGTGGCAATGAGTTCCGCAGGTTAGTTATCCATTTCCTTAGCTTTGAGCATTTTATCTCCTTGCTTTATGCCAGTCCATTGCTAGGGAGGGCAACATGTGGTGTCGGGGGAGCCTGATCGGAGAGCCAGAAAAGACTCCTTGCGAGATCACCCCCCCCCCCATAGGTAGAGACAAAAGTGGGGTGATCCTTACCATCTCTCCATGGTGGAGCCCTTTTTCCGCTTCCCCCGGGGGTATTCCAGCAAGCAGACAAAGACCCCAGCTGCTCTAAGAGGGGCCAGTTAAGGCAAATAAGCTTCCCGGTCCTCCCACCGGTTACATTGACACGGCCTAACCAGAACAGTCCATGGCAGCCCAGCTAAGCCACAATCCCCCTGTGGCCATGGACCACGGCCGATGTTCCAGAGGGAGACAGTGCCTCTGGGCAACTAAGCGACGACTGGCACAGGGTACCACCAGCTGAGCCCCCGGCAGGGGGAAGAGATGTTTGCCCTGCGTGAGGCTGGGCCCCCCCGCTTTGCGCACACAACGACAAAGGGGGTTAACCAGCAGCGTATCCCTGGGCGCTTGAATGCTTGGCCCATGGAATTCAGCAAGTCAGTTTCACTGCTCATGTATAATCAGTTCCACTTCCGGGTTCTAACACCCTGGCCCCAAAGCTCCTGCTGTTCGGTCTAGTAGTTGGGGGAACATACGAACGGCCAGGCTGGGTCAGACCAAAGGTCCATGTAGCCCAGTGCCCTGTCTGCCGACAGGGGCCAATGCCAGGTGCCCCAGTGGGAATGAACAGAACAGGGAATCACCAAGTGATCCCTCCCTGTCACCCATTTCCAGCCTCTGTCAAACAGAGGCTAAGCACACCTTCCCTACCCATTCTGGCTAAGAAATATTGATGAACCTAAGCTCCATGAATTTATCTAGCTCTTTTTTGACCCCTGTTGAAATTCTGGTCTTAACATCCTCTGGCAAGGAGTTCCACAGGTTGACATTGTGCAAGAGGAGTTTGAAATACCCCCATCCCACCAAAACCTCTTTTCTTTGTGACTTTGTCCACTTGTGAAAGCTTTTCCATTGGCTCTCCCAAAGCGCCGGGACCCTGAAACGGAGCCCTCTGTCATCACCCCGATGAGCCAGGAAAACGCAATCTCAGGAGGCTCTGCCAGCGAGATGCCGGGGAACGGGGCGGTTCTGGAAAAGGATACATGGAATAAGCAGCAAACGGCCAGCCTTTGAACTGCGCTGCCACGGCCACGATCCCTCCTGCCACTAGAACTGAAAGACAAGGGAGAGAGAGAAGGTTAATAAAGCAGAGGAAACGTCCCCATGCGCCGTCCTAGTGGTACCCGACCGCGGAGCGCCTCTGAACCCGGAGCAGGCTCTTCTCCCTGTGACTGCTCCCGAGAGATACTAATCCCCGGCCTTGCCGTTCATTGGGTTCCCCACATGCCATGACGGACAGTTGTATTGAGAGACTAAAGTCCAGACGAGACATGGGGCTGCCCCAGTTTTCATGCACTACAAAAACAGCACCCCCGAGAGTAAGAACATAAGACTGGCCAGACTGGGTCAGACCAAAGGTCCATCCATCCCAGTACCCTGTCTGCCGACAGTGGCCAATGCCAGGTACCCCAGAGGGAATGAACCAAACAAGGTAATGATCAAGCGATCTCTCTCCTGCCATCCATCTCCATCCCCTGGCAAACAGAGGCTGGGGACACCATTCCTTACCCAGCCTGGCTAACAGCCATTTATGGGCTTAACCGCCATGAATGTATCTAGTTCTCTTTTAAACCCTGTTATAGTCCTAGCCTTCACAGCCTCCTCAGGCGAGGAGTTCCACAGATTGACTATGCGCTGTGTGAAGAAGAACTTCCTTTTCTTTGTTTTAAACCTGCAGCCCATTGATTTCATTTGGTGGCTCCTACTACTTATATTATGGGAACAAGTAAATAACTTTTCCTTATTCACTTTCTCTGCACCACTCATGAGTTTATAGACCTCTCTCATATCCCCACTTAGTCTCCTCTTTTCCAAGCTGAAAAGTCCCAGTCACTTTAATCTCTCCTCATATGGGACCCGTTCCAAATGCCTAATCATTTTAGTTGCCCTTCTCTGAACCTTTCTAATGCCAGCATATCCTCATATTGCCCCTCCGTGGCTCCCTTCCCCCTGCCGTATCAAGCCACACACAGAGCCCCTGTTAGATTTTCCCAGTTGTTTGAATCAAAACCTTTCCCCGGAGGAAAGCTGGAAACCGAATCCAGCCAAGCGAGTTGCCGTGTTGGTCAGTATGCCCAGGAGCCGGGCATCACACGCGCTGCAAGGCATTTGGCCAGTTACACGCCATCTAGCCGGGTGTGGCCATGGCAGGTCAGCCCGGCCCCAGCTACGCCGGTTTCCATCCCATGTGGGCCAGCAACGACAGACAGCAGAAATCCCCTGCAAGCTCAGTGGAGGACGGGTTTCAATGCCAGGCCAGGGAGGAGGGCATCGGGTGTCACTGCGCCTGGCACCCTCGGGCAGGCGCATGTCCCTGCAAAGGAACAGGACTGCTTGGGGACTCTGCTGGTGGAGCGAGGGTCGGGTGTGGCGGTAGAGGGTGAGGAAGGATGAACTCGGGAGAATTTCGTGGAGCTCACAGCTGTAGGCCCCAGTCATTGCAGCGACAAAACACTAGTCCAGGACTTGCGACCGTCATGGCTCCCTGCCATTGCCTGCCCGGAGACAAGCCTTGAACCAAGCTGGCTCCTTCACCAGCGACAGGAGGAAGATCTCGCGCATTAACCAGAAACCTGGGCTGGGAATCAGCAAAGGGACTTTCCCCGGGTGTCCCGAGAAGCCCCGCGCAGAATCTCTCCAACCCACGCGGCCACAGCGACCGAGACTTGCGACCGTCATGGCTCCCTGCCATTGCCTGCCCGGAGACAAGCCTTGAACCAAGCTGGCTCCTTCACCAGCGACAGGAGGAAGATCTCGCGCATTAACCAGAAACCTGGGCTGGGAATCAGCAAAGGGACTTTCCCCGGGTGTCCCGAGAAGCCCCGCGCAGAATCTCTCCAACCCACGCGGCCACAGCGACCGAGCAGAACCCACCCCCTCGCCAGCCAAGGCAGCCCTCCCCAGCGAGGACACAGCTGCCTGGGGGCCCACCTCTGCCA